GGCCATGAACTTACATAGCCAGAGAAAGAAGTGTTGTGGGAGAAAATACCCCTTCCCGAGATATGTTGTGGCCGGGGCCTCCCTGGTCACACTCACCCTTTTAGCCCAAGAGCATTGAACTTGGGCATGAGATATTCGGGAGTAAAGATGCTTGTGGTGGGGTGTATCTCACTGGAAATGGTGTCTGTCTTTGGTTTTTGGATTAAATATGATAAAGGTGAAGAGAAGAGGTATAGAATGTTATCACACATAGATAAAAATAACTTAGTAAAGGACAGTTGAATATGGTGAATTTTACTTCACGTTTATAGTGAATTGGTGAGGAAATCACTTTGTAACCAATGCCTCTGGTCTTGGCCAGAGGGGGAAAAGTATCTGGGATATTTTTTTAAGTTCTGTGGTGATTCTCATGGGTAGTAGAGATTGAGATCTGGCACCAGACTCAGAACTCCATCAAAAAAGACCCAAAAATCTCGGGGCAAAGATGTGTGGATTTCTGTTACAGATGAGTGGTTTGATTCAAGAAAAACCAAGCAAGAGGCTTAAAGTTCATAGTTTGTAAAGCTAGACAGACGCTTCTTGTATGGGTGGAAAAACAGAACAGGAGGAGATGAGTTAGGAATGCTTCAGGACAGAAGTTTCACCCTGAATCCAAATTATGGTGGACTGGAAGCCTCAAAACAAAAATAGCTGCTTTTCTGAGGGTAAGGGCAGTGGAAGTGGGGGGCACAGCAGAAAATAAACCAGTAGAAACCAAACCCTGAACTCTCAAGGTTTGGTGCTGTAAGAGATTGTGAGGTGTGCCCCCTGGCGCCACCTGTGTCACAAGGCCCCTCGAATGGGTACAAAACTTGATTCTGGGGACTCCTGAGATCATTGAGTTGAGTTACAGGAAGCTGCACTATTCAGAAGCATTCCACATCTTCCTGTAAATACAGAGCAGGAACTGCTGGTCCACATGGCCTGTATCCCCTAGCCAAGATTCCTGATAATGTAGGTCGTCCTGTTTCCAGTTGGCCTTTGCCTGTCAGCCTGTATTGGTCAGCTGGACATCCCATAGGGTGTGTGTGTGTGTGTGTGTGTGTGTGTGTGTGTGTGTGTGTGTAATTGTACTGGACTCTTTCCTTTACCTGTGTCGAATCCAGTTAATCCTGACAGCAGCCTTAGACAGTATACATTTCATCACTTCATTTTAACTTAACCAAAATAAAGTTGCTAGTAAGCAGTAGAGTGTGGGTTCAGATTCAGGGGTTTCTGAGTCTAGATCGCTCTACTTGGCACTGTCTCGTGCTTCCCCTGTGCCACCCATAGGAGGAAGTGGGGAAAGATGGAGAAGCCAAGGGCATGTTCTGTGGAGAGCATCTACTCTGAGGAAGGCCTCAGCAGTGGTCAGGAAAGCAGGCATGAGATCAGCAGTGGTGGGAAGTCCAGCACAGCGAGCCAGCTGTTGTCAGCCTCTGATCTAAGAGGACGAGGGCCTGTGCTCCTTCCTCATGGCATGTCTTTACTATCCCATGATGCATCCTCAGTATCAGAATTTGAAACCCACACAAACCTGTTGTGCAATGAGCCAGAGTGTAGCCAAGTGTTACGTGTGCTTGAAGTTAGCTCCTGTCCTCTTCTGGTGAACTCTAAAAGCACACCACAAGCTAGCTGTTGCTCGAGGGGACGACAGTTCTTTCTGCTACAGGTGCACCGCCAGCTCTATTGCCAATCTCAGGTTCCTTTTCAAGCAGACTGCCATGAAAAGAGTGGGAAGCGTTTATGGGGGCACAGGAAAGCACGATGTTCAAAAGGAGAAAAGCCATGGCTCCATGGCCGAAGCAGCATCCTGTGGTGTGCCGGGTTCGTGCTGCACTGAGCCATGAGCTCTTTCTCTTCTTTTTATCCTTAAATTGTTTAGCTTCCTACAGAGCCTGAGACCTATTTTATCACTCTTGTGCTTAGTGATCTACAGTAGCCCCTCACTCTCCTGAGTTAAGAACACCAAATTTCCCTGTATGGTGGCACAAACCTTTAATCCCAGCCCTTGGGAAACAGAAGCAGGCCGATCCCTGTGAGTTTGAGGCCAGTCCCGTCTACATAGTGAGTTCCAGCCAGCTGGAGCTACGTAATGAGACTCTGTTTCAAAAAAAAGAACTGTGGGTGGTGGCATACACCTTTAATCCTAGCCCTTGGGAGGCAGAGGCAGGCAAATCTCTGTGAGAGCCAGGCCATCCTATCTACATAGTGAGTTCCAGGCCAGTGGGAGATATAAGGAAACTGTCTCAACAAAAGACAAAAAAAAAAAAAGGACACCGAAATTATCACAGTGGTCTCCCATCCGCGTACACCCACCCGCGTGCACTAGCCGTTTCCTCCTTCCTGGTACCACGGAGAGCTTCTGCATTGTGCTGTCTGTAAATGTGGACAGTCTGATCCTGCCCCAGGCTCTCTGTAGTCGCTGTTCCCTCAGCCTGAAAGCTCTTACCTTGATGCCCAGTCCTCTGCCTCCTTCAAGTTCTCGAACTTAATGCTCACTCGATGATTACTCTTCTACCATCCCAGTCCTCCCTACACACAGTTACAAACAGAAGCTGTCTGCAGCAGTTAACACCAGCTCACATCTGTCTTCATTCTGTTTATTTTCATTGATGATCTTCATACAAAAAAAAAAAAACAAAAAAAAAACATTTTGAAGGATTAGAACAGAAATGGAAAAAATGGAATGCAAAAGAGAAGTTACTGTCTTGGAAAGGTTACATGTTCATCCTCAAGGCAGCAAGACACTTTATAACGTGGGTCTGACAGTATTCATTTTAATTTATTGTTTGATCTTTCTTGCAGCTGGATCATGAATCTAATTGGACGATACCACAGAGTTTCAGGATCAGAAAATATAACCCCACGATGGGAACAGGATTATCATCTGCAGCCCATGGGGAAGCTGGGATTATTTTATGAGTATCTTGAAATGAGTAAGTTTTAGTGATGTTTTAAATAATAGGAAGTATGTTGGAACATGTTTTAGAGCCTAAAAGCGTCTGTTTCTGAGCCAAAAAAGTATTTAGCTTATTAATACGAAGAGAAGTACGGTTTTATTTCCACTAGATAAAATTATACAGTTAGGCTTGCAAATAAGCTGGCCATGTGTACCTTTCTTAATATGTATGTTATTTGATATTAAGGATTTATTACCATGCAGTGAAATGGAATATTCCTTGACGTTCTTCTTCACCATCAGTTCTCAAAGCGCTCTGGCTGCGCTGTCTGTGCAGCATGGCTGTTTGCCCATATGCTTCTGAACTGTGTCACATGAACAGGCCTGTGCGAACATGCTGAAAGGATCCCTGTCCCCTTTTCACACCTTGCTTTTGCCTTAGATGGCTTGCTGTTTCCTCTGGTCAGGGTGTGTGCGTGGTGCCTTGAGTGACCTCAACGTGAAGAGCCACTCTGTTGTCTGGATTTAGGGTTAGACATAGGTCCCTCCTTCCTTGATGCCTTGTCTGGTTTTGGATTCTTTGCTTGGGCTCTGTTTCCTCTTCAACTGAGCTTGATTTTGAGCTCTGTTGCTTTTAAATGGTTGTATCTCAGAGCAGATCCCATAGGAAGTACCTCCCTTTCTATTATAAATAAGACACTTATATCTAAAAGATGGCTGACTGTCTACGTGTTTTGTATTCGGCCATTCAGCTAGCCATCACATTGAATCACAGTTTTTCTAAGCTTAGGGGGATTTTTAAAAAAAAGAAAACAAGCGCAAAATCTGACAGGCCTGTGCTTTTGCGCAGGGGTTTGTGTGTTTGCAAGGACAGCAGTTCTTGCAGATAGAAGGTGGTTTTTATTAAATCACATTCTATATATAAAATAATTGCTTTCAAGAGCGTGCATAATACATGAAGACACATCTGCTTGCTTTGGTGAGTAAAAGGTTCATTTTGTGTCCGGATCAGCCTGGGGTCAAGTTTGAATTTCATTTTGTTTTTATGTTTCATTAAGGATGTAGCTTCAGTATATGATGGAGAAGCTATGTTCATCTATTCTGATTATTTTCAAAAGGACTGTGAAACAATCACGTTATTCCCAAATGGGTCATAACTAAATATTTCTTAATTGAAGCCACTATCAGCATTAATAATATCACCCTGGCACAGAATATTATTTATTTTAACCTCTCCTCAGTAAAAACACTTGGGGGAAAAAGTTATTTTCCCCCTTACTGATTAGTCAAATAAATGACGTTATGAAGACTGTGCTATAGTGACGCTTTGGGGAGAAGTTAAGAGTTTTCATAGGCTTATTAAAATAGTTATGAACTCATTAATTTGGCCTCATCCTACTCTAGAATATATGCTAGAATAACAGCTGTTATAGACAGATTTGGAGATTTATTAAATTGTTTTACAGTTATCCAAATGATACCCAGTGACTTAGAAGTCACTCATTTTCTGGGAGTAGGCAGCCTGTTATTGTGTATTCACTGACACAGTAAAATCTGTTTTTTGTTTTTTGGTGTGTGGTTGTTTTTTTTTGTTTTTGTTTGTTTGTTTGTTTTTTTGGTTCTGTGGAAGATAGCATTTCCAGTGTCTTTTGAATTATTTTTATTCCTCTAAAAATAAATACTGAGTGCCTTTGGGGTGGTCTCACCCCAGTCCCCTTCCCGCTCCTTTGGTATACTCCCACACCTTTCTTCATGACTCTGTTGCCCAGGAGATAGTGCCCACCATCTTTTATTGTGCTGACATCTTTTATTGTGGCTTAGTTTCAAAAGATGCATATCAAGTTCTCACTTCAGAACAGGTTATTTTACTATTTTTAATGTAAAAATATTAATCCTTCTGTTAAAGTGACAATGGTCCCACCCCAACTTATTTTTAGCTAGCTGATCCAGTCTGTGAGCCTACTGGTTATAACACAGTGAATCTCCGTGAACAGTTGTATCTCCTATTTAAAACCATTCTGTTGAGTCCATGTGACATGTTCATGCATTAGGTCACCGAATGTGTTATACCTAATGTTGCTGAGAGCTGGTCCTGGCTTGTTCTTCTTTTTCAGGGGGCTGTGTTAATAGTCACTCAAAACATCCATTGTTTCACCTATCTACTTGTTTATATCTCTTGAAATCTAACATCACTTTTCAACTTAAAAAAAATCCACTGGGGATTACTCACTGAATTTGTGCAGTCTCGGATTTGAGTCTACCCAGTTCGGAGTGTGACGTGTTGTATCATTCCTTCGTCTTTCTACAACAGTCATTATTCTTCACACTTCTCCGAATTTATTCTTAAATGGTCTGTGCTTTTGTTACTGTAAATGCTCTCTTTTCTTTCTTTCTTTCTTTCTTTCTTTCTTTTTTTTTTTTTTTTTGGAGTTTTACTGGTATTTATTGCAAATATAATCCTGATTTCTGACCCCTCTTGAACAATCAAGATCTGGCTACACTGGTTCCTCACGTCAGCACAGAGACTGCTGGCTAGCCTTCCAGTAAGTCACACACTTCCCAGTTTACCACTGTCTATGCTGACCCACTCCACATGGCCCTAAGGGCATGAGCATATTGGGGTTAGGGAGCCACAGACAGGCTGGCTCTGCTGTCATCACCATCTCTGGTCCTTGCCCATCTGGCCTGTGTGGCACCGCCTCCTCCCAGTCCTGACTGCTCTTCTATATGCCTTTGGTCTCAGACCAGAAGCACATTCACCACAACCTTGCCCTACCTGGCCAGAGTGGAACCTGTTCTTTACCTGAACAAAGGCCTGAAGGGGTTCCAAGTTCACCTCTTCTCCAGTGTTAGAGTCACATCTGTGCAGGACTCCTCCATGGCTCTGAGTGGGAAGGGCCTCAAGTTGTGCAAGATCTTTGGCCTTATTTCTTCCTCCTCTCCATGTGGCATAGTTTACCATTTTCTCTATATCAAGGCTACATAAATTTCAGATAAAGAGTGAATGATATGCTTAGGGTACCTCATGTGTTACCAGCAAGTAATTGTGACTGATTAAAGATTATTCAGTATATTATTTCTCTTAAGTGAATAGATGTAGAAGACACAAGTTGTAATTGGTTATCCTTCCAAAGACTTCATATTTGTGTTTTGTCTGAATTGTTTTGCTGTTGAGCATTACGTTGTTACTGACCATGGTTGTGTCTCATCATTGAGGTTGGGTTTTGTTTGCCTTTCTCTTTCTTTGTAAGAGTAAAGGAAACTGTGCTGTCCGTCCATCTGTCCTCCCCTCCATGATGTGTGTCCATTCCATTGACAGTTATTCAGTTTGGGTTCGTCACCTTATTTGTGGCCTCTTTTCCACTGGCTCCCCTGTTGGCTCTGGTGAACAATATACTGGAAATAAGAGTGGACGCCTGGAAACTGACAACCCAGTTTAGACGCATGGTGCCAGAAAAAGCCAAGGACATCGGCGCGTGGCAGCCCATCATGCAAGGAATAGCGATTCTGGCTGTCGTGACCAATGTAAGTAGGCCTGGGCTTCACAGGGTAGACCTGGAAAAGCCTACGTGTTCCGGGGTGCTGCCCAGTGAACCCAACATTTGCTACTGTCTTAAATGGGAGGACAGCATCAAGTGACTCGTTCAAATGAGCAGTGTGGTTCTTTATTGCAGTGGAACTATTTCTCTTTTTAAAACGTATTTTAATTGTCTATCATTGCTATGGACTTACCAAGTCAAGACTTCCTACAGAGATCCTCCACCAAAGCTTCTATCCAAGAGGAATGTGAAGAGTAATGACTCTGAAGGCTGGGCTTGGTGGTGCACGCCTTTAGTCCTAACACTCAGGAGACAGAGCAGGTGGATCTCTGAGTTCAAGGCCGCCCTGGTCTTCATAGCGAGTTCTAGGCCAGCTGGGGCTACAGGAAGACCCTGTCTCAAAAAGACCAAAAAAAAAAAAACAAGAGTAATGAGTACTAATACTTTTACTCCTCATAGAACCACAACGAGTTGCCAAAACATACATTTATAATGTAGACAAAAATGTGGGACTAGAGAGGTGGCTCAGTGGTTAAGAGCACTGGCTGTTCTTGCAGAGGACCTGCGTTTGAATCCCAGCACCCACACGCTGTCTAACAACTGTCTGTAACTCCAGTTCCAGGGGATCTGTGCCCTTTTCTGTCCTCCGCTGGCACTGTGTGACATGGGTGCGCTTACACACATGCAGTTATAATACTCATACAAATAAAATAAAAATAAGTAAATAACCAGAAATGTGTTCATTTAGAGTTAGAGGACCCTAAAAGAAGACCACTACACCATATTTCACCATATATTCCAAGCTATCTTACAGTGTTAACTGTGGTGAGGTAGAAAACGGAACATTCTGTGCCTTGTTTCCAGGAGGCAGTTCTTATGGGAGGTGGGTTCGAGGGGGGCCCAGTACTCTCCCCATCCTGTCTTTAGGGCTCTGCTTCTCCATGCTCTGGTCATGGCTAAGGCAGCCTCATGACCTGCTTGCATCCCAGCTGTGTGAGAATACACTCGGTGGTGTACAACCTGTACAGTTTGCTTATTTGTCTGGGCACAAGCCAACAGGGAGCTCACAGGCATAGCAGTTTCCAAGCCAGCCCATCAGCGGACCTCCTTGTCCTCGCCCAGGGCCATTTCCACCTGTATGTCACTGCCAGCCTCCCCACAGCTTCCCAAACAAGATGATTTCCCAGTTTTAGTTTCTTAAAGCACACTTGCCAAGACCCCAGCGTTTTCCCAGGAGGCTCTGGAGGGGACTGGGCTGGGGTGGGCGGGCCCTGGAGGGGACTGGGCTCAGGAGGCAGGCTCTGGAGGGGAGTAGGCTGAGGTGGGTGGACCTGGAGGGGAGTGGGACTAAGCTACGCTGTGGAGCATGTGGAGCCCAGTCCTCATTCACATCATTGTTGCTGCTTAACTTCATTACTTGACATCATTAGCAATGGCTTCCTGGGGACTGGGACAGACACCTCAACTAAAGGCACAAGAATTTCAAAACCAGTCACCTTCTTGACTGGTTACAGCCTTATACAATGAAAAAAGTTATGTGGAACCCAGCTGACACCCCTATCCCCACCCGTTCAAGTCTCCTAAATTGCAGGCTACTGCCATTTGGGAACTGTTGGATTATGGCAGTTTCCTTTCACCAAAATAGCCCCACCTTCAAAATCCAGCATGCTTCAAAATGAAGACTGATCCTTAATTGTGACAGCAAGGCCTTTCAAGTTCCACAGTCATAAAGTGTGACTCTGTCATACCCAGCATGCCACAGCACACTAGGTAGGGCAGGAACATGGACTTCGTGCCTTTGGAAAATTTTCAGCAATAAGGTTTAAAACCAAAAGAGTTTTGTTTCACCTCCAGAAAAGTGATTTGCTTCAAACTCTGATTGCTCAAGCATTCAGATGGTGTGAGGCAGATTTCTCCCAGTGTCTGTCATGGCTCCACTCCATGAACACAGATGGAGGACTGGCTGGGTTTCCAAAGCACCGTGAGAGTGTGTGTGTGTGTGTGTGTGTGTGTGTGTGTGTGTGTGTGTGTGTGTGTTTGTGTTTGTGTGCACACCACACACACAGACACACCACTGGCTAACTGGGGCTACTGATTGTTGTGCAATCATTATTTTTTCCTATAATTTACCCTAAGAAAGTTGCTTTTTAGATCTGTGTCATTGATTAAACTATGGACAACTCTTTAGTCCATATTGTTAGTATTTGTTAAGCAGAAAACCTCTCTGTTATCCCCCACATATATAACCTCAGCCCCTGACACACCTAGTATCATGTCTGCAACCTGATGCATGCGAAAAAAAACGAGACTCCACCGGGGAGAATCCACCAGGGTCAGAGCAGGCAGCAAGCACGAGTGTGGTAGGCATCCACTCGTGTCAAAGCTGCCAGCTCCATAAATAAGCTCAGCAGACATTGTTGTACCATGCCAGAGCATCTGCTATTGAAAACCAGTTTAAATTTATTTTGATATGAACGGAGATTGTGGGCAGAACAGCATGGGCAATGAAGCACACTGCGTTACGGGCACATCTCGAAGCAGTTCCAGTCAGAAGGAAACAATCTTGTGAGAAGACAAGAGGATTATCTTGCTTGTTGGCATTCTTGTGCCTTCCCAAAGCACACCTTTCTATAGAATCAGCTGCAGCGTTGTTGAATTAAATGGTAACAGGAAGTTTTAATCTACTGAAATCTCGCAAAAGGTTAGATCTTCTTGCCTCCTCAGTACCGACAGACAGACACAGGCATACACACACACAGATTTCACATCACAGAAAGTAACAGAGTGAATTCTAGTGCGGGAAATATTGCAACACAAAACCCTTTGATCTTTTTCTTCTTTTGCTTGAAATCTTATTTGTTGGTTTGTGGTCTCAGCACAGCCAAACCACATGCTAGATGAACAGTATTAAAAATCATGTTGAGCAAAAACACATCTGCTTTTATCCTCGAGTTAATGATTTGATTGTTTGGTTTTGTTTAGTCACAAAATTTGACCTAAATTAGCATCTCTCCTTTGTCCTTCCTTCAAACCAAGTTTATATATCAAAGAATTTAAAGCCCAAATTGAAGAACTCTGGGGAAGGTTCATGCCCTTCTAAATAGGCTTTCATCCTCATAACATGTCCTCAGAACAGTGCAGACATGGGCTCATGACTGACTCATATCTACCATAGCTTATGGTTTCAAATCTTTATCCAGTTAATTTTTTGGAAGTCTGGAGGCTCAGACACAAGAGCTAACAAAACTAGTATCATTTCCTAAGTGAACGGAACCACCCCAGCATGGTTTCTTGTTACCACATTTGATTAAAATAAAATTTCTTTCTCTCTAATGAAACAACAACAGAAGATACCCTGCGTTTACAATGAATCAGGCCAGGGGTTGCCTTGTCTAAGTCAAGAGACCGTGTGAATCAGGAATGCGAGTTTAATGGTTATCATATAAATCTAGAACAATGAAGATATATATTACTCAGTTTTCATTCTACTTTGTAAGAAACAAGTGAAAAAATCAGCTTTATTAATTCTTGACAAATGAATTTTTTTTTTTGTCTTTTTGAAGCAGGGTCTCCCTGTAGCCCCAGCTGTCCTGGAACTATGTAGACCAGCCTGGCCTTGAACTCACAGAGATCCACCTGCCTCTGCCTCCCCAGTGCTAGGACTAAAGGCGTGCGCCACCACGCCTGGCTGACAGATGAATTATTTAAAGCCAGATTATTTTCATAATATTGACCTTAGTGCTATATTCATAAGAGCATTCTAAATCTAAACCATGAAATACTAAACGGTTTTATCAAGTAGAGCTGAGGTTAACTGAATACCCTAACTTCTGGAAAATACTAATGTACATATAATATATGCAAGCACCTCCTGCTCTTCCCAGTGCCGTGGTACAATTATTCTGAACAAATAGTGTTTCTTGTACTTAAGAAGGTCTTTGCTTTTGAACTGTAGACCTTCCCATAGAGTCTAAGACCTCCCAGAAATAATCTTCTACTTGGAAAGTGTTGTCCAGACTTTATGGATATGTATGTTTCACACTTTACAAATTAGATTTCTGACTTTCTTTAAAAATGCAACTTGATGAAAATAGTAACTCTGGCATTTGGTTTAGCCACAGCCGTAGCTCTGAATTAATATTTCCTTTATCATTTTATCCCCATCATAGGCCATGATCATTGCTTTCACATCAGACATGATCCCCCGCCTGGTGTATTACTGGTCCTTCTCCATCCCTCCCTACGGGGACCACACTAGCTACACCATGGATGGCTACATCAACAACACTCTCTCTGTCTTCAACATCACCGACTTCAAAAACACAGACAAGGAAAATCCATACATTGGGCTGGGCAACTATACCATGTGCAGGCAAGTTTTGCTTTACCTGATTAAAAATGTGCTTCATCTTTAAAAGGGCTTTTTTTATGATTGACTTAAATGGTACCAGAGTCGCAGTGTTAGAGACATTTTCCCATAGTTTTCTTTTCAATAAAACTAAAATAAATATTAAAGTTAATAAAGACAAGGGGTAGAGGCTGTTCCAGTGGACACACCATGACTGATCAAAGAGAAAACCTGTGACTTCTTAGAAATTGAGATTTGCAGAAATGATAATAATTCCATTGTTAGGACTGCCTTGTGGGGCTGGGGATTAGCTCAGTTGGTAGAGTGCTTGTCTACACATACAAGGCACTGGGTTCGATCTCCAGTACTGCAGAAAACCAGGAGTGGTACACCATGCCTGTAACCTAGCACTTGGGAGCTGGGAGGAGGTTGATTGCTGCCAAACTGAGGCCAGCCTGGGAGACACTGCAAAACCCCATTTTATAAAATGCAACATGGACGGGAAGGAGGGAGGGAGGACACATGCATGTGGAGTGCTTGCCTAGCATAGGAAGGCCCTGGCTTCCGTCTCCTATGCTACAAAAACAAACAAGCAAACAAAAACTACTTTGTTATCCAAAGACAACCTAAATCTAGTCACAGTACATTGGCACCTCGCTCACCAAAGATATAAAGACATACAGTGTAGACACCTACGCAGTGAGATATCTTAAGGCACTCTGCATTGGTGTCAGTGACCATCCGAAGGTCACCTCTGGATGATGCACACTGGCTCAGTTACCAGTTGGTAGCTTGCTGTACATATAGATAATGGAGTTTTTTCTTGTCTATTTCAACTGTTCAAAGCCATTCATCATCTCTCTATCAAGAGATTCTCAATAACACGACCAAGAAGTTAGATATGGCCAAAGTAAACGTGCTAAGCTGTGTTTCAGAGCTCTGTAGGCCCTGTGCTAGATCTGCTTGCTCTGACTGTACATAATTCTGATCAGTAATCTGACTTTTGAAGGTATAATAGATTATAGCCAGGAAATTAGAGGTGGGCTGCCTGAGGAAGAAAGCAGCCAACAGAAATGACTCACGGGTGACAGGGAAGCAGTGGAAACCCTTACCCAGCAGGCTGTGGGAAAGATGGAGCTCCGGCTGAGTCTGCTCTGATGATCCATTGTAGAAGCTCACAGACATAACCCCCAAAATGGGCCAAATTGTTTATAATCCTTTCAGAAAGCAGAGAGAAGCCCTGGGGAAATGTGCAACGTCTTTGTTCTTTCATAGGCTATCTTGTCTCTCACACAGGTGGCGCCTGTCCTTACCATCATTTTCTGATTACATGCTCAATGAGTTACTACTGGAATAATTTTTTTCAGGATTTGATACCAAATTGAACTTTGGGGGAAATCTATATAATACCTACTTTTAGAAATAAAAAGTTGATTCATGTAAAGATCTTAGAACCGTGCCTTGTACCTATAGAATACTTGATGATGGGTCAGTGGTGAGCCTTTATGATTTTCATTTAGCGATCTCAAAGCAGTAATTTTTCTCAGTGTGATTGTTATTTACTTATTATTATTATAAAACATTTATTTAGAAATCTATATAATACCTACTTTTAGAAATAAAAAGTTGATTCATGTAAAGATCTTAGAACCGTGCCTTGTACCTATAGAATACTTGATGATGGGTCAGTGGTGAGCCTTTATGATTTTCATTTAGCGATCTCAAAGCAGTAATTTTTC